AATGTGTACACGAAAAACAGACACATGCACAAAAACTTGCAAATTCTCTTCCCTTGTGCCCCGTCATCCACGAACGACTTCTTCGGGGCGATGGCAAAATTTGCAAAAATCAGAAATTCAAGTTGGGCTGAAGTCAAAAACAAACACATTCAAAGGTGACTGTATGTATATGAAAGACCCATACATACATGAAATCATGAAAAATACGGCATTTTCATTCATAAACGCATGCGCCCTGCAACAACGCAATGTGTTCATTCATAAATACCACTGCTCACATGGCTCCGCTTACCCGTCTCAACATTTGCTTCCTTGGGACGGTCACAAACTCAAACATGTAAGGAACACTAAACTCGAGTGGAAGCGAGATATTCGGCTGATATTTATATGTTTATAACATCTCAGTTCTTACTCGAGCTATCGTGTATTAAGACGGAGGGACAGATATTACTAAATCGATTTACCTCACCATTCCATGAAGTTTTTTACATAGTTTATATATTCTTACTTTGATTATTTTAAAACCGTTAGCAGAACAAATCAAATGCACTCTGTTCACATAGTACAGCCGGGTATAAAAAGTCCCGTAACAAAATTAGCAAATCGTACATCTTCCCGAAATGTGAAGCAACAACAATACACATTGGTATGTGGCATACACTAGCATTGCTTCAAATTCTTGCGACTTTGACAAAAATTCAGACTTTGTCCGCCGAATTGTAGCAAGTCGGCATCGTGCTGTTAAATTTGCTGTTTGCCTATTAGCTCATATTGGAAAGCAAGTAAATTCAAGTTGTCTGTGTAAGCTGGGCAAAATGCAAAAATTCTAGATTTTAGGGATGAAGTGCGAATCCCAAGCTAAAACAGAAATAACGCATTTTTCCATATACTAATGTGATTGCATGCGTAAGTCTATTTCTCAAAGTTTTCAGGAGAGAAGTTTGAAAGTTCAGCCTTCCTTATGTCTCCCAATAAAATTTTGGTAGGTTTTATATGAATAATTTCCGTTCTAATAGGAATACGTCAAACGAAGTAATCGTGCTTTTTGACAATTTCCACTCTGATCCGTATTTGCACCTTCTCTATATTCTACGTTCTCTGGTAGCGGTTAACTTAACACCAACATTGAGTGGCGATTAGCTCTTAACCAGATGATAATTTGACAGATGCAAATAGTAAAATAATAAACACAATTCTATTCCGGTGTTGGCTTTAAAATAAATTTAATTATGAAAAATATGGAATGCATTCAAAAGCGTATTTATAGGGACACCGCACTGAAAGGTTTGTGAATAGTGTGTTTTAAGTAAATAAATATTATTGATAATTTATTTGATTTTGCAGAAATAGAGCAGCGGAAATTTTTGACGTAACATTACACTTACATGTATTGGGAAATTTTTTATTTTGTTTTACTGATTTGGTAGAATAAAGTGGCGAGTGCTCAAACATTCATCAGAATACCAAAAAAGCAGGCTGTTTTCTTCAATATTGTCATCCCGAATTATGATTATAATCTTGATGAAGTAAAAGTTCAATGCATGAAGCAACAGAAGTACATATTGATGCCGACGTAAGCTTAGCTGAGGTACAAAAAAACGCCATTGTAAGATCTGGTCAGAGAATATGTTGAATCACAAATTCATTTATAACTATTTCGGTTTTTTTCAGGCTATAGCCATATGTATTAGATATATATATTCTGTACATTTAACTTAAAATCATCAAAGTCTTTTCTCAATAAAAAATATTTGAAATGGACTTCATTAAATTATAATTTTATTTACATATATTGTGCAAAAAAAAGATTAAAAAATAAACAAAAAACGAATTGCATGGATATAAGATCAAATTATTCAGGAGTTAAGTAACCAGAACTTGGTGGAAACGAAAATGTCACGTCAGCGTATCTGACGTTTAGTTATCCTCCGGTTAGGGGTTAACGTAATCGGACATTGTGAAAACGGGCCTAAATAAATAAATTGCTGTGCCGGAGAGCATACCAAGTAAATAATTTACCCAAGTTTGATATTGCACAAATACTGTGCGTGGCATTTCCACGGGAGCCCGATTACGTTGTTCCCTCTATAATTCATATCTTCAGTGATTCAGAACGAATTACTTAATTTGGCATACAATATTTTGTGAGCAATCTACGCCAAATAGTCTACATTCCTCGACCGAACCGTAGTTTTCTTAAAATTTCAATAGAAATTTAACGACAGCTGACAAATCAAAAAAAAAACTTAATTTTTTTATGAAAAATTAAAAAAGTATAAATTATTGTAAAGGTTAAATTACTCCAGCGGATATTAAACATAATAAAAATTATAGAATGTGTAGATTTTATGAAGAATATTTTTATGCACTTTTAAATTCACTTCTTTCAGCAAATAAGAGTACAATCTTGCTTTCAGCTTTACCGGTGTTTACCGAAGGCCGAAATTTTAGATCTCTGCCATTTCTAGTACAGTTGCTTGCTTATCGGATTCGACTTGTTAGCACTTTTACATGGTTGCAGTAAAATCGATTATATTTTGATAACAGCACCAACTCATTTCAATAATTTGTGAACTTTAACTAAAAACTTTAATTTTTCATATGTTTTCATATTGAACCAGATAGGTAAACCAGCAAAACATAAAACTGTCAAAATGCGTTACATTTGCTTACGTGTGATTAGTGCTTCTAATTGAGAGGTCGAACAATGTAATACATGTCTCTTTAAGCTTAAAAGATATCGTGCCTTATTTGCTACCGATAAATTTCGAACTTCTGTATCATGAAATGTAAACAAATATTCTTAATTTAAGCTTCAGGTAAACTGCTAAATTTCTTAGAGCAATGGATAACAGTGGAGGATCTGAATCAATTGGTGGTCGGCGAAAAAGCATTGTATGGACTAGAGAAAAAATTAATCAATTAATTGAATTATATCAACAACATGAGTGTTTATGGAACCCATACACTGAAGCCTATAAGAATAAAGACAAAAGAACTAAAGCTATAAGCAATATCTGCACAAATTTGCACATAACAAAAATGGATTTTGGAAAGAAAATACACAATTTACGCAACCAATTCAACTCTGAAATGAAAAAACTTGAACGAAGGGTAGAGGAAACAGGTGACGATTTGGAGTCAGTCAGGGAGAGTTGTCGGTGGAAACATTTTCAAGCATTAAAATTTCTTCAAAATGTAATAGAGCCACGTCCAGGTGGATATCAGTCTAAAATGCGCAAAATAAACTGTCATATAAAATACGACACTACGAGCGATGAAGATGCCGAAAATTTCGGATCCTTGAAAACAAAATTTCAAACGGTCAAAAATAAAGAAATAGAGTATCAATTTGATGATACAACTCTTGCTGACTCATCTGTATGCATTTTAGATAATGCAGTCGTTTCAAATCATGTAACTATAGATGATACCAGAAATTTGAATGAACAGAGTAACGTAAAGCCGACAACAACGACGGTAAGTGGAGGAGCGGACGACAATATTTTGCATACAACCAATGAGCGGCTGGAAAATGTCAATTATCCAAGCACAATAAATGTTAGTAAAAACTTCAATCAAAATTCGACGTTGTGCTCGAAATCTCTAAATCAAGATATAATTATTGAAGAATCACATCGCGAAACATGTCTAAATTGTTCATGTCAGAAATCAAAACAGGATTACTACGAGCAAAGCTCTGGAGATGTACGAAAAAAGAGTTTGGATGACAATTGTGTTTTTATTAAATCGCGAGATCAGTGGGATGCCTTTGGTGAATTAATCGCTACCGAATTCCGCCATCTCAATTCAGATACTTCGCGAAAGAAGTTGAAACGAAAAATTATGCAGGCTATGGTGGAAGTCGGAGAAGAAGATGACTCTTCAACACTTTAAGCTATCGCTGCTAAAACTCTCATACTGATTTTGTAATTCACTTGTCTTTAATTTTAACGTTAATATTCTTAAGGTATCTTGTTAAATGCTCAGATTTTCTAATTACATTTGAACTTATCTTCAAATAAAATCATTTAATTACTATATTAAATTTACTTTTGACTTTTGAAGATGTTAATGTTAAAACATAATGTGGGCCCCAATATTTTATGATCATCTTTTCAGGTTCTACCAATTTCATTAATTACAAAAAAAAAATGTTATCTTCTAGAAGACAATTAAAAAAACGAGAAAAATATTAAATTAGCTTAAAGATTTTACTTCTTTAATCGCCAACCTTCAATGGGCAAGTTCAAATGCAGGTTTTTCCTTGTGTTGTTGGAATCAGTTTAACCTCGCTTGGGAGCCTTGAAATTCAGCCTTATCAAGAAATATATTGGGTATGTCGGAGTCAGGTCTGGATAGGTAAGAGTTAAGTATACTACCTTAATTGCGCCAGTATTACTGAGGATGAAAAATTTCGACTATCATTTGAATGGGCAGAAACCATTCTAGCGCACATCGATTTAAAACAGATCGCGGTCTACCCTCAGCTAATGGATTAACTAATTTTTTCCTTTAGTAATATTTTAAGTAGGGACACATTGTTCTTCACCGAGAACGTTTGCATTAAAAAAAATATATGTATGTCAATTAACCACCTAGAGGGCTTTCTATACGATTTAAATTCACATTTGGCAGTCTCACCAAGTATTAACCTAATGTAGGGAGAAATTTTCAAGAATTTTTAACCAGCAGTATTTAACATCTATCATCATGTTGAATGTATGAGAATTTTCACGTGGTACACAGAAATTAATATACAAGCAAGATATTGTATTATTATACTCGACACATATAAAAAAAAACCATATATTTTATTTTAAATCATACTTAAAATTTGTATTCTATTTATTAAAAACAAATACAATTTCCCAACAAGTCCATAGACATGCCTCCCGAATTCATTTACTACAGAACGCTCACATTCACTTGACTTCCTTGACTTGCAAGCCTGGTGGCAAAGATTGCTTAATCTTCTCAGCTTTCTCTTTGTCCTGCACCACTAATGTGTACAAGAACCGAGAGCAACGAATCTTGAACTTGGTATTAGAGGGATTCTTCTTAATTTTGACAGCACGAGCATCTGCACGACGTGCCTTGTTCAGAAAATCTTTCACCTCTTTGATTTCACGCGGCATCTGTCGCAAAAAAAGAAAAGTTCACATTTAAAAAATATTCATTAGAGAAGTTTTAATATTTACTTCACTTACTTTACACTTATTTTTGCAAAATTAAATAAAAACAAATTGTGCAACTCGAGAAAACGAACCAGCGTTGACGTTTCCACGTTTCGAAAGAAAGAGCAAGACGACCATTTACAAAATGGAGTCCCATCGACATCCGGCTGTCATTTTGACATTTTATAACATTGACAGCGTTAAAAGGCTTGACCCAAAGCAAACTGGTTGTGCTTGCTTCCCTCGGCTTGTTTTACTTTGAAAGTTCGTTCAATCAAATAAGTGCTTACAAAAATTCTATAATTTATTGTATCATGCCGTAATACAGATAGTTTTACTCAATACAAATAATACCCTTAAAGAATTGAATTATTTTGAATATGTCGAACCTTTCTTGCTGTTTAAGCTAACATTGGAACGTTTTGAGTTTTTATCAAAAAAATTTTTTAATGTGTGGAGTTAATAAATTCTTTTTCAATAAATGAAATTGGTAGCACAATAATAATACAAGATTCAAAAATTTGTTGGCTGTGCTTTCCATTATGGTTCCAATGCTTGTTTCAGCCAAACTAATTGACCAATTTTATTGAAATTTTCAGAAGTTGTTGCTATTGATCTAATCTACGTTTATTTATTAAAATTAACACATAAATGTTTATAAGTTATACATAATATGTTGTTAATAAATTTACAATTTCATCACAAATATTTACTTAGAACGTGCACTTATTTAACATACATGATGCAAAATACTAACTTTAATCTGTTCACATGTGATTATTAAAAATTGTTGTATTTTTATTTTACTTGGTTAGCAGTAAAATATTATTTTATTTTTGTATATTATTTCGATATTGTTTTTCAATATGAATGTCCAACAATAACAATACGTGGGTGTTGCCGTACGGAATAAAAATAAAAATACTATACTGTACAGGGTTGTATTTACGCAATTATAAATTAAAAACATTTTTTATACTTCATGAAAGCAATGACATAAAATATTATGCAAGGCGAAGCTGGTGTTGGTCCGGCTAAGGGTTACAATCAAAAGCGCGGCCGGAGGCCGCCAACTTACAAAGGAGTTTCGCCTAAAAATACTGTGCAAGGCGAAGCCGGTGTTTGTCCGGCTAAGGGTTACAGTCAAAAGCGCGGCCGGAGGCCGCCAACTTACAAAGGAGTTTTGCCTAAAAATACTGTGCAAGGCGAAGCCGGTGTTGGTCCGGCTAAGGGTTACAATCAAAAGCGCGGCCGAAGGCCGCCAACTTGCAAAGGAGTTTTGCGTAAAAATACTGTGCAAGGCGAAGCCGGTGTTGGTCCGGCTAAGGGTTGCAATCAAAAGCGCGGCCGAAGGCCGCTAACTTACAAAGGAGTTTCGCCTAAAAATAAACAGGGAAGACCCGTTCTTAAAAATTATAGAAGCGGTCAAATAAACATATAAAGTATAAAAATTTTACTATAGTTGTTTTATTTTAGAATTTCTTTTTTATATGTGGCAACACCAAAATTCACAGTAATGACACTTTGTACAAAATAATAGGGTAAAAATTCGATTTTTTTGCTATTTTAAATGTAAATATTGTTACGATTTTACTAAATCAACCTCGATTATTTTCTAGATCCTTCGGGTACGATCTCTGGATTGTTAAATAAAAACTCGCCAATTCAATTTGCAGTTTCTTTCGTTATAAAGATTTTATCTAATGTCTTTTATTCACTCCGTAATTCACAATACAATTACAATACACTCTACTATTTACAATCACTATCATCAACTTGCACAATTCACTCTACTTAAATGTACTCTCCAACGTGTTTACTTTACGACTTTACTGATGCTAACGCAAACGAGTTTACTTTATCACTAACTTGACTTGCAGCTGAGTGTCGCCTTTATATAGCAGTCGGCTGCTCGCAGACGAAAGCGTAGAAGCATCGAATTGTTCGCTATGGAATGTTCTTGTTTTATCGTTTCTAGAACGTACTAGTTATCGGCTTTTCTCTTTCATCTGACATTCGCCTCGCATTTTCGCAACAATATCTCGAAAACTAAAGGTCTCCGGTAGGTTTGGTTTTCGGTTTCTGAGAGAGGGTAGAACCCCCTACCACCCCTTATAATTCGTTTTTCCCAAATCCTGGAACCATAATGGAAAACTTTCCCAATTTGTTATATAATATGTCAGATAGTTGTTATTTTTTCATTTTTTGACAAAATTTTATACTTTTTTAATTGTTGCTACATTTGTACTTCGCTCACTCATTTCATTATTATTTCATACATTTTTTAGGTAAGCTGTGTGCCAACCGGGTAAAAATAGTAAAATGAGGTCGGAAAAAGTTTGTATGGTGTGAAAAACGTTACAATTTGCTGTGCCAAATGAAATTGTATAATTTGCCGTAAACAAAATGAAAGCTCGTTTAAGAGTCGCACTGATAAAAAATTTATACGATACAAAGAAAATACTTTTCTTTACAAATGTTTCCACCAATCAATTGTGTCCGGTAACGCAAGGAAAATTCGAAAACATTTAAGAAGTTCTTGCTGCACGTTCACAAAAATTGTCTAATTAATTCCCCCCAAAACATTACGAATATGACGATATTTGCTGTATTCATTTGTTGTTGTTGTTATGATCATTTGTATAATCAGTCATTTTCTGATATATGAAACGACTTAATGATTACTAAGTACAATCTGTTAACTTTTAAATTTTAAACAACTGCATTATCTATAGAAAACTTTCTGGATTTCTTCTCAACCCCTCCGCTCCTTAGGGACAACTCTGAAGACCCAGATTTCATCCGGCCAAAGACTGTTACCCTTTCTGTGATCGAACCCAGTTTAGGTCGGTAGGTAAGGTCTTCAGCGGTCGGAACCTAACTCATGCTCTGGTTGGTGAGATTTTCAGGCGTGTTTTGGCCTGCCCAGTTGATGCGTTGCCTCATGTTGTAGGAGTCTGTCCCGCCTTTATCTACAACAACGCCGCCAACCAAGTGTGGCAACCAACCCAGCAGGTATTACAGCAACAACACACTACACACATTTATTACTCCCTCAGCCCTCATATTACGAACGTCCCCCCGAGACAAACACGACTGTTACAGTTTAACTGCAACGGACTCCAGGTAAAGATCGAGCCGGGAGCACCTGCCAATTACTGCGATCCAGAAAACGAAGTGGACCGCCCGGTTGGACCTTCTGCACCAGGCCAGATACAACATTATCTGCACAACACCGTGTAGCATCATCGTTTCGATGGTGACATCGGCCGCAGGGGTACCAGCCTAGGCATAGTTATCCGATCAGCTGATGTCGATCTCGAAATATTTAATATATACAATCCTCCTGTTACAAGTTGCCCAGTTGAATATAGTCCTGATTTAGGTGCGCTATTTAGAGGCAAAAACCGTTTGGATTTCTAGCCTGTCAAATGACCGCAGAGGAATTGAGCTGGCGGAAAAGATAGGCGATTAAACATCCTGCCCAATTAACGACAACACCCCGACCAGAGTTGTGGGGAAAACTCCCCAGGCATAACAATTGTCACCGGTCATTTATTAACTTAAAAAGAGCTAACTGGCCCGGCTTCACGGAATTTCCCGAGAACGCCTTCAGTGCTCTCTCCACTCTATTAGACGTCACTTCTGGTAAACGTTCATTCTGCAGGATAGTCGTGACCGCTACCGCCCGCCACATCCCGGCAGGCTGAATTGCAGAAATCCGCTCTAATTTCCCGACGGAAGTGGTGATTTTAGAATCAAGGCGAGACACCGTTCGTAACTTCGTAACAGCGAGCACAGATTTGCAAAGTTGTAAATAATCACAAGCGAAAATAGTGGGACGATCATTGTCTAATCCGACTAGACACGATGACCAAGTAGAAATTTCATTCAGTGGCCGCGCCTCGTCCGACCCGAAGATATGCGCGAGTTATTTGAACCGTTTCTTGACTTTGTATCATTAGGCAGACATAGTGAAGCGACAAGTAATATCCCATCTGCGCAAACTGCCAAACACCAGCCCGGCGCTTGAATTCTCCAGGGACGAGTTTCAGGGGGTCATCGGGAAGGCGAAAGCTTTCAAATCTAACGGAATGAGCATGATGATGGTAAAACATCTTTGACCAGCGGGAGCAGACTTCCTCACCAAGGTGCACAATTTGTCTTTGACCACCATAATGATGTCTGACGTGTGGAAAAAGGACAGGGTGCTCCCGCTACTCAAGTTGGGGAAACCAGCCAACAAAGGATAGCCTTACCGGCCGATAACTCTCCTCTACCCACTAACGAAGACACTGTACCACAACAGCACTAAGCAAAAAGGGTAAAATTAAAAAAATGATAGGAGTTACACTTAAGAATACTGTGCAAGACGATGCCGGAGTTTTATTCAAAAATACTTAACAATGCGAAGCGGTTAAAAATATACATGCATCTTTTAAAAAGTAAATTTCAATATTTAGAAGTTATACATCAAATTTTCCGCCGAGCCCCTCCTTCATTTTGTGGTTTTGCGTCTTGAAAGTTAAAGTCTTTTTCTTTTTGGTTAAAAATATGGAACAAATATGTGCAATAAATATGTGGAATATTAAAGGTATTTTATTTACCTTTCCAGCGGTATCATTATTGTGAAAATCAGCTCAGTAATTTATGAAACATAGGTATTTTGAAAATTGGAATTCCCCACTTTTCCACCTCCTGGCGCCCATAATATTGATTTGCACCTGAAATGTTATGTACCATTAAGTTCATGGAGGGGGAACCACTGTAAATCGTTTAAATAGGTACAGCGAAAATGAAGGTCTTTAACATTACCGCTACATAATTTTAATTATTGATCCGAAAATTTTATAATACAACAGAGAATCCCACGATAGTTGAAGATTATTGTTAAAATGAATTAGCGAACCGCATATCCGTTAGTGCTAGCCACAAAATTCTCAAGTTTGCGATCTGACGAATTGGAGCCTTGAAATCCGATAGATGCTACTTCGGACTGCGTAGGCAATTGAAAAGAACCAAACTCTATAAGTTTCTCATCATTCTCGTCTTGCTATATGGTGCAGAGGAGCGGACTATGTCGACATGTGAGAAAATAACTCTGCGAAGGATTGACATCAGCGAATACCGCAGATGATGGAACGATGAG